CATCAAAGATACTTAAACAACACGCACGAGAGTACGATATGAATCAGGGGCCGGTCCTGGCGTCATCTTTAAATTATGGAGAAATATTTAAAATCGAAGTCCGTTAATCAATGCGTAATTGTAGGAAAAAAACAAGCATATTAAGTGTGTAATGTCAATCGTACTAGAATTGGTGAAGCTCTAGACCTTTTTTGATGTGTGTCGCCCCAAGAAGAATAAAAACAAGAATCGTTTTTTCTATGCCCGGGGCAGATCGCCCCCCCACCTTTCTGTATACAATTAAAAAATGAAAAACGTGTCCTGTGATAAAGTATATACTTTAATGACAGGGAGTGTGTGGGTCTGTCAATGGGTCAAGCGGTGTGGTTTCGATTTCCAGCTTGTAAGGTCCCCTGTCCAACCTCGTGGGTTTTCGCTGGGTCATCTTGTTTCCTCACACGCGCAACAAGACCCCTACGCGCAAGTCCCATTATTGAAATACATTTTAATCATATTTTAGTCCCGAAATTCTCCCTATTTCTCTTTTAAAGAGAGTACGTAGTGTACTGACATGTTTTCTGAATGTAGACCTCTCTCATATCTGATTATTGAGCGACTGAACACAATGACAATTATTCATGATAGGCTAATATAGGACAAACGTTGATCAAATATTGTCACAAACGGAAGAAAAAATTCTTGATCGGTTCTACACAATAGCAAGGCGTTAATTAGCTAATGACAAGAATCTGTCTCCTCATATTCCCAAGTTCAATCAAGTAACATTTCAGACATAATTATTTTTGAAAAATAATTTTGAATAATACAAAGATAATACTTTGTAGTAGTAAGTTAAATATAAAATTTGTTTAATGGAAACAAACCGCCTCGATATAAACACACTTATGGGTTTAAACAATATTTTATTTCGAGCCAATACAATACTGATATAATGAATTTGAATACACGCTGAAACTTATACAAATTCATTTTTTACATTATATGTTAATGAAACTATGGTACCCAGTGCAGTACTTAATGAAATGAAACGAAACAAATAGAAACTTAACGAAACGAAATCAATCATATCCTCGCTCTGTCCATTACCCAACAAGGAATAAACAAACAATATAAAAACAATAAAAATGTCCCTTTATGGACATGTAGTTTTATATTTTGCATGAATATCGTAATAGTGAGAGGGTGGTAAACGGAGTTCATTTAGCGATCAACAAATATGATATTTTTATATGTTTTGTCGAAATGAGCACGAAACAATGGATTGCATAAGTTATGCAACATATTAAATAGAGTGATTTGTTGCTTCTATCATCTATTGCTTGGCTTGATCTCAGTGGTCACAGCTCATATGGTCAGCTATCTATATAAGAGTTGTGTCCCTTTATATAAGTAATAGATATATTATACTATTTAACGATGACATTACTTGGTATCATATATGATTGATGTGTTAATTTTGATCGTTTATATCAATTTATACTGATTGATAATTAATATTCATGTTTTACAAACAAAAATTAACGTGACGCAATACCCATTCAATACTTGCGGTTTGTATTTTAATACGAAAGCGTTCGAAAACAAAAAACTGTTGGTTTGTGAGTGGTACAGGACATATGATGGTCTGGCAAGGAAAAGCGTATAGTCGTTCGAATGGAAAGAAAACACGAGACCAACCCGTGTACTCGTTGGCGTAGACGTAAAAGAGCACTCAGCAGTTGGAATTTTGATAACGTCTTCATTAGTTCGTTTTGTTTAGAGAAGTAGTGCGTTAAAGCCTATTTGCTTTTATTAGTGTTGGCTCAAAGTGTGACAAAAAGTCTATTTCTAATAATAGATGCTATGAAACGTTGGACATTAAACATAAAACACACCTGATAAAATCTGATTCGTCTGAATGATCATTATGAAAGTTTGTTTGGGTTTATTTTTAAAAATTATCTCCTATGTGCTAAATAAAATCTTTACTGTAATTCATGTAAAATATTCATTTACAGGATTCACGTTGTTTTGCGATGAACGGCTATGAATATGAAACAAAGCGTGGTCAAGCACATTAAACAAATAGACATCGATTTATGATCATAAAAATGAAGCAGACCTTTGTTTGAGCAGACTATCATTATATTTATGATATCTTTCACACGTTTCCATGGCACAAATAACGACCGTCGGCCATTAAATGGGCGTTGGCCAGTTCCTGTGTTGGACAGGTTTCTAGGGGATATAATTACAGGTTTCCAGTAGAGAATTGTCAGGGGGCGTGCAAGCTATTTACTGGTTGGAAAACAATGATGGACGTCCCTTGTATTTAGTCACTGGTCTAGAACGGATTGCATGTTATAGTACTTTGGTACCAATATGATTTGTGTATAATGATCAATTACTTCTGTTTTTATCTTTTTGCACCGAGTCATTGGTTCCAGAAGGTGGAACGTTGGTCTATTTTCACATGGTTAGTTATTAACGAATTTAATAGAGTGTTAATATTACCAAAAATACATCGAAATGTAATGAAAATTCTGGCCAGAGTATTAAGCATTATTTTTTAAATCATATACGTAATACACATGTTCTAATCTGTGAGTTCTTGGTAAATAAAGGAATTTTTACAGAAAAATCTTATTGGGAAACAATTATCGGTTTTGGTCTGTAATATTTCATGTATAACAAGGTGACATTAAAATCTGATAGTCTTCTAAAAACGTGAATATTAGAATATTGTTAAGGTATTTCCAAATGTTTATATACAATAAATAATTTAAATATAATTCTGAATAATATATTAAAAATGGTATAATTCTTCAGATAGATATTTTCTATTTAAAGTGATGAAAGTTTTCATTTGATGTGAGCCAATTTGAAAATAAGCCTTAGTCTATACATTAAAAGGTCGTCACTATGACAACCAACTTAAGTATTTCATTGGCTATTAGATAAATATCATTTATGTCTGGCCAGATAATGATACTATAGCGTTGTTTATTTTAAAACTTTTAAAATCCAATTAAAATTGTTTGAAATAGACCCTCCTTATTTCTATCCGATTAACTTTCGGTCTATTAGACGACGGGGTCGGCCAAGGTTAAACGCATTATCCTATTATATCAAGCAAAGACGTTAACGAGATGACAATCGCAAATCAAAACATGCAATAACCGGATTAAGATTTTAAGGTTTATAATAATATTTTCTGGTCCGGGATGGGCTATAAAAGTACTAATACCTTAGATTTGCAGGTGCTCGTACTGATGTATTGTTAATCTTTTGTTTAAAAGTATTTCGTCTCTCTTTATCCTAACGATGTGTAAATAAGGCCGCATACCTTTCTCACAGGACTTGTTGATAGAGTCAACATCCATAATAAAACAGTGAAGATTTCAGATTGTGGTTAAATTCTCCCCGTATTTTCTTTTCATTTTGCAAGAATTTTGTGAGGATGCTATACAATTTCTTGAATTTGGCTTGCGCCATCAAATCAAGAAACTTAATTAAATGTGAAATTATGAAAGTACTTGAATCAAGCTAGTAGATTTGTTATCGATCAAGATGTTGAATGCCTCTATGGTTGAAAGTAGTTATCCAGTAGAGAAGCGTCAGAATACTGTTTAAGAGACAAACAGGCCATAAACAGTTAATTAATAGACAAGATTAAAGCATTCATACTCTTCCAAGCTATGCTAATAAAAGAGATAATAATTGTTTTAATTAATCATTAAAATCGTGATGAACCAAAGTTGCATTAACTTTAATACGCATCTTCCTACAACAAGATCTACAATTTAGTTTTTAGATTATATTCAAATACGTTATTCACGATTCTTTTGAATTTGTAAACTTGTGTTGGTTTGCGATGATATGCATTGTATATCTAGTTATATCTCCAAAGGGAGATGCGTAGATTACAAGAAGAACAAAGTCCGCTCTATATCTGGATATTATCAAGGGAGCGGCAAGTATAGACATGTATGCAAATTTATATTAACCGAAATGAATAATTCAATTAGGATTATAAGGATAAGTCGTTTATGATAGGATTATAACTGATGAATAAAGAATCATTAGGAATACCCGATTCCATTAATGATATTAGGCATTCAAATCCCTGCTTAAACTCAATAGAAACAATGAAGTCGGATTACCCCCCTTGAATTTAAGTCCTTAACTATCGACACAAACAAACAAATTTGCCTAATAGAACTTGATTCCCAACTGGTGTTAATATCATTATTGATATTTGGCAATTTATCTGAATTGACCAATTGATCATTAAATTGTGCACATCGTTGGAAGTGGAATTCTGATTGGGGACCTAATGCAGGACGGCTCAGTAAGGCGCTGGCTCATTAACCAGAACGTGTCTTGTTCGATCCCGGTGTTGGCGGGGGGGGGGGGATTTGCAGGCTGGCAAGGAAGTGCATTAAGTCTTTCGGAGGTCCTGTGTACATAATGGCAAAGGAACCCATGGCAGTTGGAAGTCGACGCGGAGTAGGCAAACAAAATTCTCTCAAAGAACAATGCATGGTGTATGCCCGTCTTCATTAACCTGTTTGGTTCAGAAAAGTAGGGCGTTAAACCTGGGCTTCTTTGAATTTAAAGAAGAAATACTGAACAAGAACTATACTAATGTCCAAAAGAAAGTATACAGTGCATTTTGTCCTGCTTCAAACAAAGTCATTTTTCTATTGTATGCGGTATTTGGGTACAATGTCCATTTGTTTTGCCATTTATTTACTTACAAATATTGAGTTTGGACGCACGAGACATGTTCAGTATAGTTTTATCACATTTTGTTGATTTAAACAAAACTTAGTCATATTTTTAGTGTGTATACTAGTGTGGACATTAGTATACATCGGTTCGTCGAGCTCTCCCTTACACTGCAATGTCATGGATAAAAAAATGCATTATTATTGAAGAAATACAAGTAGGCTAACAAAGTTAAATTTTTATGAAAACGAATTTATTCATAACTTTAACACTGTGTATTTATGGCACCAAACACATGATGGAAATAATTAAATAATAAATATGAATATGATAATAAAATAATGAAAGTATGAAAATATAATATCAATCAAACGAATAATGAATATTCCATTCAAGGTATGTACATAATACTGCTGAGTATAGTTATGGAAATACAAAAATTCATTAAGTACATGTACATTTCATGTTCAAATCTGATAAATAATGTCAGTATACATAATGATTAAACTAAATGCATCTTATATCAATTAACATACAGAATGTCTCAAAAACTGAAACGTTTCAGGCAAGATAAAACAGCAATGGGGATTGAAGTGAAAATGAGAGAATTTAAAAATAAGCCTTGGCTTATATTATCAAAGAGGGTAACCATCATAAGTATTTCATGAGTTGTTAGATATCATTGGCTTCTGGCTAGAAAATACATTAAATCTTTCTATTTTAAAACTTTCAATATCCAATTAAAACTGTTTGAAATAGGCCGACCATTCGTTCTATTCGATTAACTCTCGTTTTATTATACAATGGGCTTAGCCAAGGTTAAATGCTTTATACTATTGTAGCAAACAATATGCCAAATGCGCCACCAAAATTAGCAAACGAATGAAACTTTATCTTCAATTAATAGACATTTACCTGTCTCTAATCTCAAAGGTTTGGACAAAGATTATGCAAATACGAAAATAAAAGCGAAAACGAAAGGCACAATCTCTGAAATACGCCTTGAAATAAATAACAGAATGGCGCAACATGTTTGACATCAACTAAATGTAATTGACATTACGTTCTATAAAAGACAGTAACAATACTCATTTCAAACAACTCATCATGTTAAAATATCACGTAAGGCAAATATTTACAACATTCATGTGAGACAAAATGCAGCAATTAATGAATGATAATGAGTGGTAATCGATGTTAATATCAATGAAATCGATTATTTACGGGTGATTTTCTACATAGGAAACCACAATCATTTCAATTATTCCATGACACTATTTTCCCAATAGAGCGGAATCGGAATGTAATTGTCCACTGATCGTAGCACAGAATCTTCGAATTTTAAGCACAGTCGTACTTTTAAACATAGGTTATCTTATTTTGTCTTATTAAGCACAATGGGCGTCCTCTATATCAGAGTTTATCGTATAACTACCTGATGTCGTAGAATACTGATCATCATCCATACTACACATACTACTATGACACAAGGAGTTGTAACTTAAAGCTGGGAGAGGCTCTTCTCGAGAATGACCAGTAAAAGTATTCATAGAACTCCTGACAGGAGGATAAAAACTGTTCTGGAGCTGTATATTTTCTTTATGACTCTCGGGTTTTCTGAAAGCACTATGTCTTAAATTTGGTACAGTGTCGTTAGCGTTATAATGATTACTGAAGGAGTTGGTTGTTTGAAGAGGTTTTCTGGTAAAGGAGTCGAGGAACTGCACCTGTGGCTTGCCATGGATTGGCACTCTAGACGCGTGGTATGATGCCTGGTAGTGTACGGGTTTAGTTGGCATTCGTGGAGGAATGACAGGGGGAACGTCGTCATCTTGGTTAATATGATGTTGCCACATGACGGTGGATCCTGAAATAAGCAAAGGATGATAATTTGAATATGTTTGGGTGCATGAATATGGTTATTGTGCTTATCATGGAAAAATAACTATGACCAGTAAACTGTTTCAAAAGCACAGTACACTGGAATACAATTACATTTTATTGCTGAGTGAAGTTTTTGCTAGGATTCACATGCCCATATCAACCATTTGCTTAAAGACAAGTAAATTCTAGTTGAATCGTCGTATCAATATTTAAGCATGTCTAAGTTGTTATGGTGTTTTTTTAAAATGATACTTACCAGTTTCTGATAAACTGAAAGTAGGATTCTCATCATCACTACAGCCTTTACCACTATCACTTCCGTTTGACTCTTCAGAAAATGTACTTTTGTTATCATGGTTATTCGACCGTCCATTAGCCTACAAAGATACATAACATATTAGCAAATTATTTGTATTTTATATTAAAGATTACATTTTTGCGATTTTGCGATGGACAATCACAACAGGGACAATTTTTACGAGTAACACAGAAACATTGTAAAAGGCCAAAATAATTATTCTGGCTCGATAAAGTTATTTGTGTTCTGTTCTTCACGTTTCACTTTCTTTCAAGCTCCACCGATAAATCGTTATTGCATTAAATGATCGGTTCGAAAGCATGATTGACTCATTAAAATCTGATTTCACAGTGGGCCATCGAGTACAGTTCACTTCAATTATGACATCATAGTTTACTATCAAATTCTTCCGTTGGGATATTCACTAAATTTGAATACAATCAAATTGGCTTGGGGCTTCGATTGTATCTATGATTTCAAATAATCATTAATGATATGGGGATTACGTGACATGATGTAACTGATTGATAATTATCATTACCTTAGTGAAAGTAAACGAAACTCGTTTTCGTCGTTCTGGGGTGTCCGAGTTGATATTTGAGTTGGTGAAAATGATGTTATTGTCGCCATTTTTAACTGGATGGAATTCTAAACTGGAATCGTTTGAATTTAGACTGGTGTTGGGAAGGGCTGAATCAGCCAGAGCTCTTTCTAAATCCTTTTCGTCTTTAGCCATATCATCTGCTTCATCGGCACTGTGATTATTTCTATTGTCATTCCGTTTCATTCTTATAATAACTGTCACAATTATAATTGCGACTACAAATGTGACACCTGCAACTATGCCAGTAATAATGAGGTACAGCTGCCCATTAGCAAATACAGGCTTAGGCACGACACTATTGGCATGTACAACTTCGATATTCAGGAATCCAACAGATTCAAGTCTTATGGCACCCTGGTCTTTGACGCTAATTTTTAATTGATGGAACTTAAGATCAGTATGAGCTATTTTTCGAATAAGAATGATTTCGCCTGTTTTCGGAGACAAATCGAATAAGTTTTTGTCGTTTCCCTCAAGAATGGCAAAAACCAATTCGCCATTTTCGCCCTCGTCGACATCATATGCCATTATGGTGGCTACTCGAGTTCCTAACTCTACTTCGGAGGTAATTGTGATAGTATCGTTGTTGGCATTTGGGAAGGTAATCACCGGGGAGTGGTCATTAGCATCTACAACGCGAATCACAACACGTCCAGTCGTGCTTTTAGGGATGTCACCTTTATCTTGAACAAGGACATTGAATTCATAAATATTTTTCAATTCTCTGTTTAGTTTGTTTTCTAGCCGAATTGTTCCATCTTCGTAAACTATAAAAGGCACAAAGGGGTTGTTTTCAACAGCAGCGAAGGACAGGGTCGAATTTTTGCCCTCGTCAGCGTCGGTAGCCCTTAGTTTGCCGATGACAGTTCCTGGGTCAAGGGTTTCGATGACTTTTATATTAAGGCTATCGGGAAGGAAATGGGGACTGTTGTCATTTTCATCTAGAATTCGGACCATAACCGATGTCGTGCCACTAAGAGTAGGATCCTGGCTATCGACAGCTTTCACGACGAAGGTAACGGATGAAACGATTTCCCTATCAATATCGGAGTTCGTAGCGATCACCCCAGTTTCAGCATTCACCCTGAACATGGCACCGTCAGCTAGATCCATTGTGTAATAAAACTTGGAATTGTCCCCTAAATCTCTATCTAAGGCTAAAACAGTACCAACAGTCACACCAAGTCCAACATTTTCTGTTATGTTCATTGAGTATTGTGATTGTAAGAACCGTGGGGCATTATCATTCATATCGGTAATAATAACAGCAAAACTTATAGAACTCGTTAGACTGGGTTGGCCGCCATCGTGACACGTAATGGTGACATTGTGTTTTGAAGTAGTCTCTCTGTCAAGTTCTTTGTTGATCAAAAGGGCGTACCCTTTACCGTCCAGTTTTTGTACACCGAAATAATCCTCTTCACAGACACAATTGACCTCTCCATTAGCATCCGGGTCCCGGTCCTCAACTTTAATATGGCCCACAAAGGTCCCGATCTTTGAGCCTTCCGACAAAAATATAGTTTCTGAATTCATTGTCGATGCTAAATTTAATTGTAATCGCGGAGGATTATTACCGACATCAATGATGTTAACAAAAAGAGTTGTTTGAGATACTTGGGGAGGATTACCATTGTCAGAGGCTTCAACTATTGTGTCGTATGTTTTACCCGATTCATACTGTAGAGGTGATTTTACCGTCAGTTCGCCAGTTCTTGTGTTAAGAGCAAACAGATGTTCAAGTTTGCTGCTTCTTAAGGGACTAAAGCGGTATGATATGTTCGCATTCTCCCCAGAGTCCTTATCGTCTGCTTCAAGTTTTCCAACTGTTGAGTCGATTGAAGTATTTTCGGACACGGTGACATTATACATGGTTTTAATGAACTTTGGGGCATTGTCGTTTGCGTCTAGTACATTCACGTTTACAAGTAGCGTGCCGGTCCTTTGAGGAGATCCACCGTCTTTGGCTAATAATAGGATGCTGTGAACTTGTTGCGATTCTCTGTCAAGAGGTGCTAACACAGATAAACTCGCGTCTGTCGAACCATCAAACTTTTTGATTAACTGAACCCCGAAGGTGGAATTCGGTTGCACTAAATCGTAAGACTGAACAGAGTTTTCAGGACTCATATCTGCATCAGAGGCACCTTTAATGCGATATGTGGTTCCGAGGACAACGGATTCAGGAATATCCACAGACAAGCTGGTGTTTTTGAACTGAGGCTCGTTATCGTTGACGTCATCGATTTCAACGCGAACTGATAAAAGTCTTAGGAATGACGTTACGGTTGACTGAATGGTGACATCAAATGTGATATGACACACGACTGAATTCTTGCACATTTTTTCTCTGTCGACTTTAGCTGTACTGTACATCGCACCGGTCATACGATTGATGCTGAATAACGAGGTTACCCTGGCATTGTTCGGATTTAAAAATTTGTATTCCAAATAAGGAAACTCCTCTACTGCTACGTCCTGTCCGACTCCACTATCAACGGCGATATTGCCAATAAACACGCCTGGTTTCATTTCTTCTCTTAGGTTAAATACAATATCCGGATTCTGCGCTCGAACAGATACCCAACACACTAAACTAATTATTAACATCCCAATAACACACACGTCATCCATTTTGTTGACCGCCATATCTAAATCGTTTTCTGTTGAACTGTTTTATCTATTCTACCATGACTTCAAAAACAATTCTGGAATATAATAAAGATACAATATTCATCAGAACATATTCATATTTCTAAAAACGATCGGTGGTCGGGGAGAAGACTTCACCTTTTACTAATAATTAACTGTCGTCTGCTTTTCCAATGTCCCTCGCGTACTCTATAAAGAGGAAACATTGTGATTTATGACCTACCTATAAATGAATCTAGGAACCTAAATTTCCATTAAGAGCCTAAAACGGTTCCCAAGGGTCCAGAATAATAAGTGGCTTTTAATCCCGTAATGATGTTGGTTGAGCCGAGTGGTTCTCCAGTGGATAAATCTATGAATAGCTTATTACCTAACATCAAACATTTGTGGACACAGACACATAAAGGAAGATTTACTCCGTGTATTATCTGGTTAATAATGGACACGGGGTTTCAATATTGACTTTACTATATTTGTATAAAGAGTTTCGGGAAAAGTTTGATTTTGAATAAGGAGTTAAACCGCGACATGTTTGCTGATGGAATCGAATAACATTATGATTGATTTGATTCAATAAAATGGGTGGGGCTGACGTGTCTTTATTCAAACACTTTTCATAGCTTTCCCATTTTTGTCAAATGCATTCAAAGATGTCACATCGTCGAGTTATTTATCAAAAGGTTCACAGAGTTTAATTCGTCTATACTTTCCTCTACGTTTCCCATTTATGTGTTCAATAGGAGTCATTTGTTGGTTTAAGATGGCTTTCGCAAGCAGGCCATCCTTGCAATCAGTCAGGCCTACCTTAATCAAATACTAATACTATAGCTTATATTATTATACGAATCATTCGTCCTAATTGTGTGAATAATACAAACTTAAACTTATTGAAATAGTTGACTTTAAATGAATTTATTTTATTGATCGCATTCAAGTCTGGATGTTTTATATATATGTCAAGCATACAAAACATATGTATTATGTATGAATATGGTGTGTATGTATTGAAATTTGGGACCTTTAGCTCCACTGATTACTGATGTAAACAGTGCTTATAAAAACTTAAAAAGATTAGCGAAAACATGAACGAGTAAAACCTGAAATTGTAAATGACATCCTTTTCTGCATCGACTAGGCTAATGCAGATAAGCATGCGCCATGCAATGTGCAAAAGGGGGAATTATGCCCCGGCTGCAGCGTTTCCGCCTCCTCTTCTTTGAAATCTAACTGTTGGGGGGGGGGGGGGGTTCATATCATCTCAACGACTAGACGGTTTTCTTTTCCAGGCCAACCGTCCTTCGCCACTGACAAGGGGAAGCCAGGCTGGAAAACCCCGAGGGACTTTATCGGCAAACACCGGAGTTGAACACCGGACCTCCTGGTTAGTTAGTCAGTGTTACAGTCACCGAATCATCGTGGAACCTGAAGAGAGAGTAACTCGAAAACGCTGGGCTTGATGTGTTCAAATGGCTAAACAGTTTTCGTCATAATTCCGGTCTAAAACAACTTCATGTCACTGCAGTTGAAAACGAAATAGTATAAACGAGGTTGCATCTAAGACGATATATCTGAAACTTAGATTAAATTATAAAGCTAAGATGTGGACATCTTCAGCGAATTTAATCACATTGATCAAATTTACTGAGCAATTTGTATAATATCACTATAATGCGATTGAAATAATCATATCTCGGGGGGAGGTCGCGTCAGATGAGTGTAGAATGGAGTGTCCAGGAAGAACTCCACTGAGGATGGCTCGTGAATATTATTGCTACATTGTCACCATTGTGCGTCCATCCTTCCTCGACTTTATTGTCCACTTAAAGTGGCAAGAATGCGACTTTTATGAAGGAAAATTAGGGTTATTTCGCGTCGTTAAAGGTTACACCAGTAATGAAATCGTATCAGTAACTTCTATGAATTACTGTTATATCTCCATGGTGCGTATGGCGCTTGTCACTTTAATTAACTTAAGACCGAAATGTTATTGAGATCAAGTTCTGATGAGAAACGGTAGAATTTTATTTTTCCAGATAACAATAGAAGTTGTGCAAAGTACATTGGTTACTTCACGTCTAGAGAAAAAATTTATGAAAGTTTCAAACATATTCAAGCTCGATTTTGTGCAACATTTGAGAAAAATCTGTCAAAAACTATACACGTTTAAATCTTTCAATTTAATAACAGTCGTGCGCTCACTTATACTTATTTCACGTGACAAAATAACTTACTTTTAGCAAGTCAATTCTTGGATTTTCTATAATAGCATCCAGTCAAATTTTACCTAAACAGTTACTTCTCAGTATTAAATTCAACCAAGAAACTTTTTCTTCAAAGTAAGGTTCACTCGAAGTTTGCCTAAATAGTTACAATAGTTACATCTTTAGTATTAAATTCACCTAAGGGACTGTTTTCGTATGCTTTTGTACAGTCAAAATAATGACATGTCCGATACTATACAAAGGTAACTTTAGACGCTACGCAGTAAAGAGAAACCTTTCATTAAATAAACCTTTTACGATAACTTACGTTTAATTCTAAGTCCCCACAGTCAGCTGTCAATAATGGCGTCTACATCTGACATTAGCTATCAAGATCTCAAATATCGGAGCCTGTCGTACCTCAAGAAAAAATCTTAGACTGAATTTACGATTCACTTAGCTTTAATAGAGACTCAGTCCCAGTGCTTCACATAATCCCCTAAACAATCGTCTTCATCTGAGTTACATTGTCTTTGTCACGCTCAAAGAGTATAAAACTCCTCTTTGGTCCGTTGTCAGTCATTAAAGGTATTTTAGATAATGACAATGTCGATTTTTTTTGACAGTAAGATGCGAACTAATATAGACACATAAGTACAAGTATATATACATCTCCTGCAACAGTTGCGGATTGTTTTGTATTTGCAGCATGCCTGAATGTGACCTCCTATATATGTTACGTGACATCGTGAAACTAGGGATGACAACAATGTGAAAACATCCCTCTAACTAAATACACACCTGCAAATAGTGAATTCCTCTTGTAGTCAATAAACTTTAAAAATCCGATAATCTTACTCAGGTCGGAGAAAACATGGCTTTACCTATTTTTAATCGACCTGTATGTTGCCTAAGTTAGGATATTTTTAAAATTTACTTTTTTATAGGTGGAAAATGGTTGAAATAACAATTAACGTACATTTTAAACGATTCTCCTGGGACATATTTCAGAATTTACACCTTTTCATTCATAGGTGAAAATGCCACGAGGTCATGATACCTTTTTGTTACACCTGTAATAGAGCCGTCAACACCTTTAGATTCTGTCGGCACCTTTAATAATTGGTGCATAATTCAATGATTAAAGCACATCATGGGTTAACCTAAGTGAATAGTATTATACAATTACTGCAGACAGTGAAAAAACAAACATACCCTATAATATAGTTTCGAAAACGAACAGCGTACTCTGCCACATACACGATGCCCATTGGCACTATTGAATTAAGTTGAGAAATTGTGGACTTTTGTGATCTTTTACGGAGCTAAAATTATATGGGCTAATTATACCATTTTAACCTATTTTCCAGTGTTTTAAGGATAACATATTGACCAAGTGATTATTTTCTATGTACAACGAAAATAAATATACGATATATTGATTGACAAGCTCTTGTTAAATCTATTGAAAATCTATATATAACTAATCAGAGATTCAAGAAAAAGATAACAAAATCAATTAACTGTGAATTTCAGTATTTACTTTAATATTATAGAATAAGTCGAGTATAAGTTCAATTTGACTATAACTAGGTCTGAGTTAATAATAATTTCCATAGTTTTGACTGACACGACCAATTTATGATATCAGCGATGACCCACCCTTGTTTGTATTCTCAAAATCCATACAATGAATACTTAGTAAAGTACATGAGCATTACCAAAAACAATAAGGACGCAAAATCATCATCAGCCATTTTCGAATTTTTTTATAGAACATTTTTCGTATTTTCGTTGTTATTGTTGTTTATGTAATGTTGATAAGTACTTACGAGGTAGGATGCGTGTTGATAAAACGCATAATTCGTATTATTGCAAATGGTTTAATCTCAAACTATGCATTGATTGAACTAGTTACCCAAGATAATTAACCATTCACATTTTCTGAACCCGTTTAGGCAATTCCTTCTCAAATTAAACATTTATGTCACGTGTGTACATCAAGCGTCTTCTCTCCCGCTTTATAGCATCTATTTCTGTTTGGAGAAAAAAAAAGCTATGGAAATCTCTCAATTTCCTTTCGTTTCCCATGGGAAATAAATATAAAGTCGATTCCCTTAAATTCATCATGTCACATTTTGTGCTTTAATAATCGATTAAGATCCGTTTATAGTTATAGGCAAAATTGCTTTTCTGCATATCTGTTTTACGCGAGAAATTCTATCACATTTTCATTTTTTTCTCATTTGAAATAAAATAATGCCGTAAATTAACATGTTTCATATGATAAGTGTCGTATTATATTGAAATTTGAAAAAATATACAGTTATTGCATTTAATTTGTTGCATTTAAGCACGTTTTCATTAAATAAATATTATAATGAAATTTGATAAATGTATTATGATTACAGTTAGATTGAGATAGGGATGCATGCTGTAATTGGTATGGTATGAAATTTAATACCAATTTTAATATAATGTCATGTATCAGCTCATATACAGATAAGTTTAATAATTAGATAGATATGACGTAATCGGTGCTGACAAATGTCATCCTTGACATCGTGTGAATATTGACATATTTTATCAATCAAATTTTTACTTGGCAACAGAGAAATGATATCTTACTGACAATACTCATAAAATTACAGATACCGTTTTCGTTCATATTAACATTTAAAGGTGGTATCAAGTGTTCTTGACTAAGCATACCATGCATCTTGTACACCCACCTACGACTGGAACGTGTCATGCCCTGTTCGTTTTATGTGATATTAATTTCAAATAAACCTAATTATTAGCAGTGCTTTAAGATATTATCATGCGTAACTCAATTAACAGTTTGCGTCTTCGTATAAAGATAAGGAAAATGTCACAAAAATTCTTTAGTCTAAATGAAATTAATGTCAACATGGTTGAGACAGTAAAAACATCCAAAAACTTACGATCATTATAAGACACGTCTTGCCACAACACAAGCTCTTATATGAAGACCATATCGATGATTCTAAAAGATGCTTGAAGAGAACACGGTGTCTGACAAATTAATTATGGGCATCGATTGTCATTTAAGATACCAATAATACTCTCTGAACAATTAGATGCACAATATAGAAGCCACCCACTGATGATAAGTGATAAAACGAAATATTCAGTTTTCTTACCTTTCAGTTAAGTTTCAACAGAATTGTAATATATCCGAGCTGTCAGTTAGTCTTGATTGAAAGTGAAATCTACTCCAAAGTGTTCGATATGTTATGTTATGTTGACGAATGACGGTGTAACCGGCTTTACGATATAAGTACTGTAACAGTAAATACCAAAGATAAACATCGCACTTGAAGGCACGAGACACTGGACACTCTCATCGACCAATCAGGAGCCAGCCTCTATTAACCAGCCCAACACCTACGGCAACATTTACCTTGATAGTCGTTGATGACGTTGTGTGTTGGTTGGGACAATAAGTGCTCACTGAAGGGTGTAGTGTGGTCACCATCTTTGTTAAAAAGTAAAAAAAGCAGGACCAATCCAATCACGTTATATTGGACGCCAAATTAAATATACATTTAGATATTAAATAATAGATATTTGATTTGTAAATACAAAAATAATTTTTACCAATTATCTAGTTAATTTTATTTAGTTTTCCCAAAACTGAAATAGCAGTATTAGAGTTGTAACGTTATAACAAATAATTTATAACATTGATTTAGCCTTTAACAGTCTTATGTTCGTGGTTTGAATGAAATTTTAACTCGAGAAAACCTATTTTAAGCATAGCAAGTTAAAACGAAAAGAATAAAATGAAAATCAAGAAAATGTTATTACATTATAATTTGGAAAATTTATTTCCTCCTTTTCGACGTACATCTTGGGAAATTATGTTTTTAGAAATTCGTAATTAATCGTAATAGCCATTTTAATTTTGAAAATGTACATCGACTGTAGATAACCTTAATGTGTGTAAGTGCGGCTAAGGAGATTACAATGTTTAGAAAACTAATCGACAGGGAACAGCGTCGGGACTAATCGCGTTTTAGTGAATTTGGGTTTGTTATTTTTGGAGGTCAAGCCTTTGTATTCTTGTTTATGTATACAAGTGATTAAAATTTGCTCTTTTAAGTGATTTGCGAGCTATTTTAAGTGTGCAAATATAAAGTATGCGTTATTGATCTACAATACATAGGTGGGATATTTTTGGAAATCGGCACCCATCGTCTTTTCCCGTCTGGTGATTTTAAGACAGACATGCGACATGGAAAAACAAATTCGTTGAATCAACAAAAACGTGTTAGAAAACAAAAAGATAAAGTTAAATTTACACAAATATTTTAAAAAGCAAATTTAACTTATAATGGACAGACTGAAAAAGTAGAATGGTTAAGTGGGTGACATATTTATATTATTAACTGTCTATGTGGGAATTTAGATGTCTATGCGTACAAATCCTGGGATTTGGAGTTTCTGCGACAACCAATTACGGAATCACTTTCGTTGACATTTCAATAATGGCGAATGTGTAACATGTCACATTTTAAGGAAGGAAATAATCAGTATTGTCACCAAATGTTTTAATATTTTACAAGTTTTAATCCCCAACATGGTCTTGTCAATAAACGAAACAATTCCTAAACAACCCATTTATTATTCTATGTGTGGATGTGACATGATGGGACAGAGACGGTGATATTGTCTACACGAAAAGAAATAAAATGGAGCTTAACCGGAGTAATGAAGATGAAAATACGCTATGCAATATGCTATGAGGGACATTTTGCCCGGACAGCGGCCTTTCAACCTTTTCTTCAACGAATTACAACTGTCAATATCTGTATTTAACGTGCATCACTGGCGAGTAGACATCACTGAAAGATCTCGAGCAACTTTCTCGGCGAAAACCGGGATTACACCCAGGACCTCCGGGATAGTGAGTCAACGCCTTTCGACAGTTGAAAATGGAAACCAGCGTAGGTCGTTTCCCCGCTGTTTGGGCAAAGTTTACCTAATATCCATAAGGCCTGTCATTGAGCCAACTGGCGTGGTTTCGAATCCCCGGTTGTACGTGACAAGAAGTAGAGTCACCTGTCCAACCTCGTGGGTTTTCTCCGGGTCTTCCGGTTTCCTCCCACTGCTAAAGACCCCTACGTGCAAGCGAATTATTGAAAAAAAATAAACTATATGTTAGTCCCGAAATGACCTAGTTTGTGTCGAGTGGACGTTAAACCCCCTCTCTCTCTCTCTCTCTCTCTCTCTCTTTTACCTAATATCACATAGCATGACGTGAGTTTTTCTTCCCTTCCAAGTTGGCACGGAGAAAATAATACATTACATACAATGTTGTTTCCTTTCATATTATGTGAGAGAAGTCGCACTATATTGAATGAAAAATAAATACAAATACATATTTCATCGATTTGTAGTTCGAGCGGCATTACGGTATGCAGTTCTTCGTGTATTTAAACATTGATGTCATTGCGCAGAATCTGTAAACCCTTTGTTGGATTGTTGTGTAGTCGATATCAGGTCAAATGAATATACATTTTATAATAAAAGGAATGAATTGACAACAGTATAATTTTTATCTTATTATTGATGCCTTTATGAAATTATAATCGACAATGATAAATGAAGCTTTTATCGCCATCCAATATAATTAATTTGACTTCGAATAGACGGGGGCGCAAATATCTTTTTATTTCGATTATGTGATCAAATCCTTTTATTTTTGCATAAAGTATTTGTTTTAAAATTGTATTATCGGATTAAGGTTTTTTTGTATTAGTTGGCCCAAATATTGAGATTCCTCTGTTAACAAATGAACGAACTATAATCCAAAAGTATTGCAAATAAATACAAAAAGACTATATGAAATACGAAAAATAAGAAATTGAATAATGTGCAATAGTGTGTTGTATATTATTCGCCCTGTCCTTGGTCTTATTGAATAAAGAATATATTAGTACCGAAATTGCTTAGTTTAAAAGTTAAGTTCAAAATACAAAATAGGAAATTGAATAATGTGAAATAATGCCGTGTAAAGTACCCGTCCTTGTTGTCCTACATGGTTTCTCATTGTTTTTATTGCTTGTCTATGATATTTGCCACTGTACTTGTTTGAAAACGCTGAGAGAAATCCCTCGAAGCGTCGCCCAAATATATTAGTATTCCATAAGTGTGTGCTATAGTGTATTGCAATAATATCAATATATGACTGTACAAAAAAAGCATTCAATTTGCAGATTTTTTTCACTTCCTATTTCCTATCTGAAAACAAGATCTGCATTATGTGTAATTAAATACATGTCAATAACACTTAAAGGGTTAATAAAATAGGCAAGGTAAATGTTGCGTGTATGAAATCTATCGGCATATCGGCGCCATCGATCAATTATCGTTTAGATCGCTGATCAAACTCAATTGTTAATCGATAAAATTATATCGGAAATGCCATGTTGGATGGTGTTGACACGTTTACTATTGCTAATTGAATAACATTAACTACACACGGTTATCGTTGTACCTCATCTTAACACAGCCAATTTTAAATATATCGTAACAGACATGTCAATTATTAAAGCGCTAAAGATCTATCGATAATGGCTAACTTTATTTTTTAATATTCTTTAAGATATTGTCTGTTGACTTTAAATAATATCGTCACAGACATGCCAGTTTGTAAGAGCTCTTGCCATTGTCTAATTATCATTCAAAGTTTATTCAAAATATATTAAAAGATAATAGCGTCTGTTTATTTATAACAATATCTTCAAGACATATCGACACCCTTTTTTTAGATGGTACGATCGATACGATATGTCTGTTGCTCAATTGTTTTTGTGTATATTTTAAATATTAATTCTAAAATTCCATTATTGTCAGATGAATTCACAATCTTGTGTTGACGACATACCCTGGGCGCATTTTTAACAATGTCAGTACAGACTTATCAATATTTAAAGCATAAACATAAGTTGCTAAAGTTGCTAATAACGTGTTTACATAATACAGGGGTATAGACTGGTATTTGCTAAAAGATTAATTCCTATCATCAGTTACAGTACAGGATACTTTGAATAGGAATTAAAATGTCAAGTTATATACATGTACATATAGGCCCATGAGAGAGAGAGAGAGAGAGAGAGAGAGGGGAGAGAGAGAAACTAACACCACTGTGTTACAATATTTAGCAGGTTATAATGTCTTAGTTGTGACACAGTTTTGCTGGGTAGCTTCGAAATGTTTTCAAATTGATGGTTATTTATTTAGTACCGCGACTGTGGAGGAAATATTTAATTTAAACTCAATATGAACTATTATACTCCCGTCATTAAGAATTCGAAGTCATTCAGAATTTAAATCTTTTGTAGAGTTACAGGATTATTTGTTCTCGTGGATAAAATTGAGACGTGTTTATCTGACAACGTCATCTACACTATTTATTTTTGATATTGTTTAAGATGCATTGTCACCCATACATGTCAACAGTTAAACCACTTTAGATCTATCCATATTATAATCTGTATAAGGCATTTAATGTGTCGACATCTGATAACTCGAAATAATCTGGATAGTTCGAGTTTTATTGTATCATGTTACAGGGTAGATAATATCTGACGGACATCTGACCGTGTAAAGACTTTGATATGTTGTTTATCTGAAGAAGACCCAAAGTTAGTAGTTAAAACATAAGAAGATCCCATTTTTGTACTATTGCGGTTACACTAAATAACAACAATCTGCCAGTAATTTTATAAAACAGTAAAATTCAAGTAAGGAACATTGTTGCACATTGCATATTTCTACAAAGGCCAAAAACATAATATCTTTCGAAATGCTCTAAGGGAAGCTTTTTTGAAAATCTACAAATTTTAACATTATGTGGTACACTAGCAAGACGATGGACGTTCTGTTATAGTCAATTGTAAATTACCCATGCGCTCAAGCTAATTATCATCTAATATTGCGCCAATTCTGATGATGAAATTTTTTCCGGAAAATGTAAATTAAGTTATGGGAAATCAGATAACCGTTTCCATAGCGCAAGATTCAGATCATTATCAGATAATTAATCATAAACAAAAATCATAATGGATCGGTATTTATCAAAGAGATTAGAATGATAATGACGTAATCAAACTTCTTTAATGAACGATTTCGTCTATTGTCTTAGGCGTTAGACACACGTCATATATCACATTTTGTACTGTCTGCTAACTTCATTTACGGCGGGGCTACCGAATCCTTAAAAGGCTTAGCGCCCTCAAAAACTAGTGTAAGGCGACGCCGCTGCAATAAAACTTTAGATTTTAAACTGGGTAA